AGGCACAGAAAGTAAAAGCAAAGGAAAAGATAAGAGTAGGGGTGACTGTCGCTCAGCAAATTTAATATAAAAATAGAATTTTTAAGAGGGATGAAACAGGCGTGTTGGTTGAACAAGTGGTAAGTACAAAATACTAGAATAACCTGTAGTATTTGGGTCTCTTCTGAATTTTCACGTGGGGTAAAGTGATGTGAACTGTAGCCGTATCAGTCCATGCTGTCTTAAGTCTGTCCATACCTCCAGGCAGCTCAGTGCTTAAGAAGACTCTTAACTGCAAATCACTCAAAGTTGTGGAGGACAGGGCCCTGACTCCTCTTCTGCCTAACCTTATGCCTCCGAGGGATGCGGGACCCTGCGTCGCTCTTTGTGTTGCATTCTCTCAGTGCAGTTTTTCCTCTCCCAGGAAGCCAGTCTCGACATAATACTCGGTGAAAGACTGAGGCCTTTGACCATTTAAACCACATTCATGCTATATTGTAGTACAGGATCATACTGAAGAAATCCACAGAAAATTTAGCTACTCTAGGGCCTCGACTGCCAGTCATCCCTCCGTGCTCATGCCAACTAGGAGTACTGAAGTTGTCAAAATAAATTATGATTATAGGGGAAAATGTCACAGCAGATTCAGCTTTGCAGAATATTTCATAATACTGTGCATCACAAAAGTTAGTCTTTCAAACTCTAGATGTCTACTTTCATCATTGTTGTTATTACAGTGTTAGATAAAGATGGGCCAAGCAGAAAGCATCAGTTTAATTTTGTACCCAAACATCTCTTTGAAAAATCAGGGAATAAAGCAGCAACTCTAGCATTAGGCAAGTTTTGTGCAGTTCTCTCCAAACTGCACAGCCAAGTGAAAATTGTGTTAGATTTGGGCTAAAGGTTTTGATGTTCATTCCAGAGGGAGCATGAAAAGTGTACAATAGCACAGTTCCCCCTTTTCCAGTCAGTGGGACCTTCCCTGGGCTGCCACAACTTCCCAAATATGATGGATAGTGGCTTAGCAACTTCATCTGCCAGTTCCCTCAGGACTTGCAGATGTGTCTCATCAGGTCCCATGGACTTGTGCACCTTCAGGTTCCTCAGATGGTCTCAAACCTGGTCTCCTCCTACAGTGGGCAGTTCTGCATTCTCCTAGTCCCTGAAGAACTGGCAGGGTTTTGTCATTAGGAGATGCAGTTGATACAAAGAAAAAATATTTGGGTTAAAATTCCAGTGGTCTAGCTAGGTATGTCATTAAACTGTTCTGAAAACATAATTTTTCATTGCATAGGATATTTTCAGAACAGTTTTACAGGCTTTTCTGATTCTTAGCTGAAAACTGCAAGGCCACCTTTAAAGGTTTAAAAACTGGTGTGTACATGGGGATAGGGATCTCCTGTGCATCCTTCAATAGATGCGTTCTCATGAAAGGTAGGGCATACAATTTTCTTGTTGGTCAGAAACAGGTCAGTGGAAAATTTTACTTGCACGTACTGAAAAATCCCTCGGCAGGTATCTGAGATCTCCCAGAGGCCCCATAGCTGAACAAGGGAAAGCTGGAATTGCCATTCCTATGTTTAAAAGAAAGACGGGGAAAAATGGTTTGGATTTTTAGGCATTTTAAAGCTTTCTTGTGCATTCTAAGGAAAAATAGTAAGCTGGAAAAATGTTTTTCACTTTATAATCTTCTATAAAGAGCTGAAAGTATGATTTGATAGAACAAGTAAATTACTACTTAGAAAGAGTCTAAGTTGAAAACTGTTTGCATTTAAAATTGAAAACACAACTTTTTTCATAGACAGCACTTTGCCTAAAGCTGGAGATGAAGAGGGATTTGTGCCATTCCAAGTGAATGTTCATCATAAATGACCTCAGTCAATAAGGTCAATCTTAAACACATTTTTAAAAACATGTGGGTGTTGGAAGTTTTGAGTAAGTTTAGCAGTGAAGAGTTTTTAATGTGTATGCAAAAAAAGAAATAGGCAGTAAAAACTTCTGTATGCAAAAATCCACCAAAATAAGGATTTAAATACCTGTGTTGTGTAAATGTGTATTAGCTTTCGGTCTTGAACTGGGAAATTACATCGTTCCTGGCACAGTCAGGGGTGACGTAATCTCGAGTGGTTTGCATACGGCTCTGAGGCTTGCAACCTGCTACCTTGAGGAAATCTTATCTATAAAACTGTTGGGTGGCAAAAGGATCATTCCCAGACGCTGGGCTGAATCTTCAAAGGCAGAAAGCTGTACTAACAGTACTTGGTGCATCCACTCTAGCTAGGAAAACAAATTAGGCAGGTTTTTCTGTTTCCTTTTAGCGTGGCTATTTGCTGAAGTGGCTGTTGTGTCAGCCCACTGAATTTATTTCCTTTAGCAGGGGACAGCAGCTGGTTGCTTCTTTCCACCCAAAAGTTCAAGAAATGCAATAATGTGCATTGTTTCATTGTTTTTTGCTCTGTCCCACACATTCCTGCAAGGCCATGCAAGGGAGAAATAATTCAACTGAGCAAAGAACATAAAGGCCTCTCTTTTTTTTTTTTTTTTTTTGTTTTCCATTTCTTTTATGCAGAAACTCAGTGTGTGTTTCTAGGGCAAAGACATCTTTATGTGAAAGACGATTGCTGATGCAGCGCTGAGCAGAGCAGTGGCAATTTCCTGCCTCTGAGGCAGAGCACGATATTAACTTGTGGCATTCTGGTCTCAGCTGTTTGAATTTCCCTGTGTCTTTGAGTCTAAAAAAAAAACCCAAACCCAAACCAACTTTACGGTCTAGTGTAGGTTAAAAAGAAACCGACGTGCTGAGCAGACCCTAGGAAGTATGTCTCCCTGCTGTTAGTGTAATGGGCCAAGTAGCTTGGCTGTGGTGAGGGGTGTGAGACAATAACCTATGACCCTCTGCAGGAAAGTATTGGGGCTGCATTTGTTCATAGTTTTCAAGAATTTTGAAAATAACTGAATTTCAGCTGTTACAGCCTGTTTTTCTTGAGCTACTCAAACTATCCTGAAATACCATAGGACATAAAATACATGGGACATAAAAAGAATAAGATAAAAACGCAAGAATGTTTTACGGTGTGTTTGCCAGTCTCACTAGGAGAAGGTGGAAGTTGTAGTAGGACAGTGCATGTCCCATAATTAGGTTTTTTTCAGAAACAAATGCATGTTTTACTAATTCTTAGCACTTCGGATGTGCATAAGGTTGCACAGCCATTAACTGTTTAAGACTGAAAGGCCAGTAGCAAGTGAAAACCAGAATACTTGCTGGAATCAGTTCCTTCTCGCTTCACTGCAGCGAGATGCTTTCCTTCAGGTGCCCCCATGAACGCGGGGCTCCCCAGATGGTTAGAGCGGCAACATACGTGTCTACCACCATCTCCTGTATGTAGCTTCCCAGTGTAAAGGTGTGTTTTTCCCACAGCAGTTTAGAGAAACACTGCATGCCAAAGAGGCCTTTTGTAAAATAGAACGAGCTGCTGCAGGGGGGCTCTCCGGCAGCACGCGTTTTGCAGATACCTTACATACAAATCCTGCGGTTTTTTAACTTGTGTCAGAAATATGACAACATGTATTCAAGGCTCACTGTGGGCAGAAAAAAAAAGTCTAAGAAACACTTTTTCTTTCAATTGCATGGTTGTGGTACCTTAATGCTCGTTTTCCTCTGTTGTTTTTCTCTTTTGTGCAGGTAGTTGTTCTGACATTTGCACAGCAGGTGTCCTGCACCTTCCTGCACCACCTTTGCCAAAGTGGGGTTTAACAATTTGAAACAATCCATAGGAAAGATAATACACGCTTGAGTGATGATTTCATAGACCTCTGAAACATACAAAGCCCTACAGAAAATCACCCAGGATTTGGCATTTTAGTGACTGGAAGCAACTGTCCCAATCCATGTTTAAAGTGCCCTCCGCAGAGTACTCTAAATTTTATTTAAGAATCTGGAAGCAACTGTCCCAATCTATGTTTAAAGTGCCCTCTGCAGAGTACTCTAAATTTTATTTAAGGAAGATCAGGGGTGGCTTCTGCCTCCAGAATTAGTCACAAACCGACAGCATCAAGCATAAGCATTAGAGTCTAACTTTGGAAGCTGCTTTTTTGTTAAACAGATGACAGCAGAAATTGGCAACGCGTGCTGTGCTAATAATCTCTGGGATTCTCCTGTTTCACCTCCATTCTGCTCCAGTGCAGTAGTGACAGACCTCTCCTTCCCTTATAAACCTGGCGCGGGAATTTTGCTGTGCGTAGCTTCGAAGTCGTGTGTAGCAAAAGAGAGGAACAGTATCAAACCTTATTTGTAAAGGACCATTTAAAAATGTATTTCCAGGTAAATGGTAGAACCTGGTTCTGCTCTGCCCATGACTGACTGCATCTCCCAACATCAAACAACAGAACCTCTGTTAAAACACAGCGTTCTCCACGTGATAGAGGAGGGATTTTAGCTGCAACATATTTTCTTCCATTATCCCAAATAAACTGAGCAAGCAGTAACATTTTCCTTCCCAGCAAGTGATGCCATGGTTATAGCGTGACAGCAGCCATGCGGAACTACGTAAAACTTTGAATTGCTCAGTGAAATTTTCATGGGAAACACTATGGTCAAAAAAATGTTCCAAAAGCCCTTGGGAGTGATCAAAGCAAACCGTTTTGGAAGCAAGGTAATAATGCCCCTTTCTAATAACAGAGAGAGGTGGGCATGCACACAGCTTTATAGAGCTGCCTCACCAAAAGCATTCAGGGAGTTGGACTCGATGAGCCTTATGGGTCCCTTCCAACCGGAGATGTTCCGTGATTCTAAGTTCACGGGGACTAAGTGTAGGGAAGGAACACCCTGCATAATGCGTGGTCTCACCCAGCAACTGGAGGACAAACCATTTCCATTTCATGCTATAAGGAAGGAGAGAGAGAAAAATGATTGTTCGACTCCACTGATGAAAGGGGTGGGGAGGGAAGGATTATTTCTCCCATTCCTGGGAGGTACCTTGAAATAGCCCTTTGAATATACCGCAAACGCTACTCAAATACTTGCTTAAAGACCTTTTATTATGAATGCGATGTATATGTGTATTTTCTTGGTTTATCTGAGGTGCTTATATAAACGGGCCTGTATCAGGTGAATGACAGTCAGTCTGCAGGGCACGACAGCGGCTGAACACCCTTCAGCTCCAAAGCTTTGCTGAAGTTAACCTCTTGAGGTTTAGCAGTACCCTTGGTGAGCTTCAGAAATCGCATACATCCTTTAAAACGGGTACTAGTGGTCAGCCCAAACTGGGTCACACCATCTGAAGGAGGGGAAAAACCAAAAAAAGGTAAAAAGGAACGATGTTAGTTTGAGTAGATGCTGAAGTTTGTTCTGTGAGAGCCCTGCAGGAAAAACAGATGCTCCCAGCAATATATTAATATGTTTTACTTACTCTATATCTTCTTTATTAAAAAAAATGACAAACATTATGAGTGAATGTGATAAATACTTACATTAGTGGTAACAATCCAGTCTTCCTGAACAAATTTAAGCTGCCATTGTAAACCATGTAACTCAGTTATGTGACATGGAGGAAATTAAGGAAAATGGCCAAATGGCAGCTTGCTGCCCACAAATAGTGTATGATGCTAGTCCTGCAAATCTACAACTTCTCAAACTGCTGATCCACAGAATAACAGAGCAAAAAAAGTGCCAAAATGGTGGCAATACTCAGCCCTAACGTCATGAGAAAGCCAGTTCCTCAGTGTGGATGAGCTAGACTAGACAGCAAGAGAAGCGTGAGGTGTTTAAATGTGCATGTAATTTCATTAGATCATTCCATGTGGCTGAACACAGGAATATCGCTTCAACATGACCCAAGTGTAGGCTTGTTTGGTACAGGCTGCAGTGTTACTTCTGTTTGTTGGTCCTGCTGTGTTCCTCCTGACGTACAGTCCAGGACGAGGCAGTAACTCCACCTGCAGCGTTTCTCTAGTGCTAGCTCCCATGCCAGAATCCTCTTTTGTAACAAAAAGGCTGCCGTAAAGCTGTTTGCCTTTTGGTACAAAGTTGTTGGTCCTTATCCATAGTCGCTGTGACTGAAGTACACCCCTCTCATCTCAGTGCCAGGAGCATTTCTGGAAATGTTTTGAAGCTCAAGAGAGAAGGCTCTTTGGATGCACTGTACCACACATTAGAATGGGGGGAAAAATGACTTCCAGAAAATCATTTGGGGCTTAACTCGAGAGGCGACTTGCCACTGACCTCGACCCGCATTAGAGGCAGACACACACTGCAAACACTTGGCTTCTTTGTTTGCAAACTAGAGGTAAACCTTATTATGAACGTAATAAAACTGGCACCTTGCAAACTTCTCCACTGTGTGTGCAGAAAGTAAACTGCTATTGGGTACACCTGATGGTGTATGAACAGATGAATACTAGTGTTCATTAGCAGCTTAGTGGAAGAAGCAGCTAGCTACAGAGCTCAGCCCAGTTCTGAATTCTGCCCCATTACCTCTGCCTGAAGCAAGTCCCCTCAAGGACTTCCACAATACTGAGTAGCAAGTTTCTATTTCCCACATCCCCCTTTAAAAACCAACAGGGCACACGCAAAGACATTCATCAGGGATGGTGCTCTCTCAGCTCTGTGCAAGCTGTTGTCCACGTTCCTCGGCTTTTCCAGGTAGGCAGCACCCTGCCCTCCCTCAAGGGCATTCTTTACTTAAATTTAACTTTGCCATTCTAAAGTGAAATGTAAATTTGCTAATTGCTGTTACCATTAAGCCACAACTATTAAGCTGTTATGGAACAGAAAGTGTTAAGAGGGAGGCTGTGTGTGTTGGCAGCAGAAGGCAGAAAGTCTGTCTGCTCCACTGTGACAGTGGCCGCCTTTGACACCGGGCAGGGGGATCTGTGAGAGTCCCTTGGGGCTGCAGAACCTCTCGTTCCCAAATGCAGCTGGATGGAAAAACGAGCATCCGTGCCAACTGAGACAAACTCAGGCAGTCTTATCCATCAACATACTAGTCCCAGTTTTATGATTTAAGACATTACCAAGGTATCATTGCTAGAGCACAAGTAAGAACACATTTGTGAGTTAAACGCTCACCAGGATATCCTCCGACAAAGACAGGGTCGTTGGTGTCTGCTGAGGTTGAGGCCCTGTTAGGGCTGTTACTATCCACCTGTCTGTCATCCACAGTCAGCTCTACACGGTGTTTGATCTTTCTTGCAAGAACATTGTGCCACTGTCCATCACACAAGCCGCCTGGTGCATCCGGCTCATAGACGGCAGAGAACCGGCCTGCACCGTTGTCGACATGAAACATCACCTGTAAGGCGTAACGTGAAAGCCAGATAGTTCTCACAACAGTTCTGTAGTTCTTCTTTTTATTACGTTTTTGCTTATTTAAATCAACGTGCTCTGACTGCATACACTAAACCTCTGACTTAATACCAGACTCTCTGTGGATGGCTGTCCCAGCTCCCAGGGGGAGCTGGGTTATGGCACTGAGATAAACACTAGTGGAAATACGCAAAATTGTGGTATAGCTTGTCATTTTTCCATTTTCAGGGGCCCCTGAAAAAAACAGTTCTTTATAGTGATAGGCTACTGACTGGTTTACCAGCTTGGGAAACAAAAGATACACACAAGAAACGCTCATAAATAATAATAAAACCTTTCCTCAAAACTTTTCATATTCTCACTAATTTAAGCCCTGATGTTGCAGTTTTAGGAAACTCCAGTGTTACAGATTCTTTTAAAATAACTTGGTAAAAGTGTAAGAGTCTCTTGGTGTAGGGGAAGTGGCAAGCGCTGCATAAAGGTGAGCCCTGGTACTGACTGAGACACCTTGAGGTTGGTGTAGCAAGCTTGCACGTAAGCTACCTGTGCTTTTTAAAAACAGTCTATACAAAGAGCCAAAAATGTTCTGCCACTCACTTTTCCGTCTACTAATTCGATGCCAAGCCCATCCATTTTCTGGCTGCTGACTCCTAGGAGAACACCGTTCATTCGTGTTGTACGGAATTCAAATTCCACGAGCAGGTCTGTTCCCACTTTGTATGCACCAACTTGGAGAGAGAAGGGGAGGTGTAATAAAGTGAAGAAAAGTATTTAATACATTATTCCTAATAATCACACAACGTGTGTTGCCTGTAACGCAAGGTCACTAACTCCGCATTTTTGCTGCGCTCCACTTCATGTGAAATCACGTTACAGTGGCTGTGCTTAGTGTGAGGTTTTGCTAAAGAGTCATATAGTCTATTCCTGGGCAACAGAACTGAAAACCATCAGTGAGAGTTGCCAGTGTTGGTCTCACTTTGCTGCCAGTCAACTGGAGTCAGGCAGCACCGGAATTTTGGAAAACAGCACCTCCTCCTTCTCAGTTCTTTGCCTACCAGCAGAATTGTTCATTACCTGTTTTGGCAAAGCCTGTTCCATCGAAGTACGTTCCTTTCTGTGCAGTGACAAAGCATTTTCCAACATTGAAGCTGGAAGTTGGATTATCCAGGTCAACAGGTGATTCTGTCATTTTAAAGTTTCTGATGCAGCCGTCGATGCTATGGGTGACCTGCATTGAGTATTGCAAACAAAACATGTGACTGAGCAAAGCAAGCTCGAACGCTCAGAATAAAGGCCTGAAGTACACCATAAAAAAGTACCTTTTCTCTGCTGGATTTATGGAGCTGAATAAAACTTGAATTTTACATGGCTAATCCTTAATATCTGATTGTAATTGGAATCTAATCTCAGGCACACTGAGGATGAATTACATTACTTTTCAGGGATGTGATCTCAGTCACATCTATTTGGCTTAATGGAGGGGACATAAAATAATACACTGCATAATGAAACATAGCAAATTACATCAGCAATGCAGGAATTTAATGGCCTATACTTTACCTATTTAATTGACTAGGTTATGGGGTTTGTGAGTAGATGGAGATACTGGATATAGTTGTCTTTTTTTTTTCTTCCCTTTAATCACTTTACTATGGGCCTAACGTTGCATGGTAAGACAGAGCTAATGCAGCTCCTAAAACGAACGAATCCCCTACGTCAAGGCTGCTGCCCGTACACAGCTCTTTGTATAATAACTGTGCGTATATAGGGCTGGTGACCACAGTGACAAGGGCCACGCTGTCGGCCAGAGAGGCAGGTGGAGGCAGGGGATGTGGCTTGGGCGTACGGAGGCTCCTGTGCAGGGTAGCAAACTGCAACTCCAGTTCGGCTTTTGCGCTGGGAACACATCACTCTGACTCTGAGGGGGTGGCACGTACACTTTTAAACCGGTGGTGTGAGTGAGGGGCTGCACCCGGGGCTGCCCTGGGGCTCAGCTGTGTGATCAGAGCATCCCAGTGGGACCTGTGAGAGCATCTGGCATCTTCCACCCCTTTCGTCCCCATTAACTATCACCAAAACTTTGTCCCTTTCTGAGGTGTGCAGCAGCTGCATTGTCATTCTCAGCTTTAGACAAAGGCTTTGATCTTTGACTTAGAGTTAGTAAAACTTATCCCTGATATCAGTGGGAGAGAGGAAAATGATCAACATGTACTTTGAGGATGAAAAGAAAGACATATTCCTAAGTAATCAAGTAGGAAGGAAGAAAATAAACCCCAGCATATAAAATACAGCATAGAAATACATATAAATATGGAAGGAGAAAGGCACACCTGCAGAGGGAAGCCTTGGCTCTGCACAGTATCTCCTCTAACAGCAGCCTGACTAGTAATCTGAATGATTTCCAAAAAATTTCTTGTAAATCAGAGCTGGAGGTACTGTGGAATTATACAGCTTGTTACTGTGTTACTGCTAAATGCACCTGTACAAAGTTTTAATGAGAACTTGAGCAATCTCAGTGAATAAATTCCGTTCTGAGCTGAGCGGTGTTTTCTGTCAGCTTCTTCATAAATAGATCTTTTTCCAATTTCTGAGTCACCTCCAGATCAACAAGTTTTGTTACCAAAAAATTAAAATGCCACTGTGTTGGTTACACATGGGAAGGTTTTGGTAGCAGGGGCTCTACAGGGGTGGCTTCTGTGAGAAGCTGCTGGAAGCCTCCCCTGTGTCTGACAGAGCCAATGCCAGCCGGCTCAGAGATGGGCCTGCCGGTGGCCAACGCTGAGCCCATCAGCGACAATGGGAGTGCCTCTGGGGTATCGTGTTTGAGAAGGGGTGAAAAAAACCTGCAGAATTGCAAGCAGAGAGAGAGTGAGTGAGATATGAGGGAAACAACCCTGCAGACACCCAGGTCAGTGGAGAAGGAGGGGGAGGAGGTGCTGCAGGCCCGGAGCAGATTCCCCATCAGCCCGTGGTGCAGCCCATGGTGAGGCCGGCTGTGCCCCTGCAGCCATGGAGGGTCACAGGGGAGCAGAGACACCCCTGCAGCGTGGGGAAGACCCCCTGCCGGAACAGGGGGATGTGCCTAAAGGATGCTAAGACCTGGTGGGAAAGCCATGCTGGAGCAGGCTCCTGGCAGGAGCTGTGGCCCCATGGAGAGAGGAGCCCAGACTGGAGCAGGTTTGCTGGCAGGAGCTGTGGCCCTGTGGGAAGCCCACTCTGGAGCAGGCTGCTCCTGAAGGACTGCACCCCGTGAGAGGGACCCAGGCTGGAGCAGTTCATGAAGAACTGCAGCCCGTGGGAAGGACTCACATTGGAGAAGTTGGTGGAGGACTGTCTCCCATGGGAGTCTTCCATGGGAGGGACCCCACGCTGGAGCAGGGGCAGAGTGTGAGGAGTCCTCCTCTGAGGAGGAAGGAGCAGCAGAGACATGTGATGGACTGACTGATCTTTAAGGTCCCTTCCAACCCAAACCATTCTATGATTCTATGACCACAACCCCCATCCCCCTGCACTGCTCAGGGAGGGGAGGAAGAGGTAGAGAAATGAGGAGCAAAGCTGAGCCCAGGAAGAAGGGAGGGGTGCAGGAAAGGTGTTTTAAGATTTGGTTTTAAAGCTCCTTTACTCTGGTAATAAATTGAACTAATGTTCCCCAAGTTGAGCCTGTTTTGCCCATGATGGTAATTGCTGAGCAATGCCTCCCAGTCCTTGTCTTGACCCACGAGCTTTTCTCTCCCTGCCCAGCTGAGCAGGGCAGTGCTTTAGTGGGCACGTGGCCTCCAGCCATGGGGAACCCACCACAGCAACAAAAGAAAACAAATCTTGCCATCTTCGCTGTAAGAATAACTCACAGAGATGCAAGATCTGTAGACAGCTTGGTAACATTTTCTAACTTTAAAATTACACTTTAAAAAAGAAAAACAAATCTGGTTAGCATGGTACTAGGCAACATAACATCTCTTGCTGAAAGCAGAGTTTTGAGTGCTTAAAACGTGACATCTGCTGAAGCCAAACAAGCAGGTATCAGTCGTCTTCACTGAAGAGGAAGCCAGCCCACCTACAGTTACATATTAGATTAATGCCTAAAAAGGTTAATGTGTGTTCAGCAGAAAGCCCTAACTAATATAACACATGCTTTCAGCTGACTTTGCTTCAGAGCCTTTACATGAAGCCGGCAACAGAGTACTCCATTAGTACATCACGCGGTGTATTTTACTGAGAATGACTGAAAGGCAAGCACTGGTTTTTACCTTCTGTGAATGACATTTGAAGTCACAGCTTCATTTAAATCCCAAAGCACATAAGACTGTCAGGATCTGACATGACTCTTATTGCCAGACTGAGCCATTTATCTGCACGGGTTCCCTCCATTACTTCTGACAAGGGGCAATAGGTAAGGATTTAGCGTTGCCTGTCTCCTTAGGTTAGCATTTGTAAATTGCAGATGTATTTCAAATAGCGTAATTTGCTGGCATTAGGAATTATATCTGTGGGCAGTTAAGTACTGGCTTTTCTTTTTCAGTGCCTCAGATCTGGTTTGGTAAATCCAAATGCTCAGTAGATTTGCCTCAGTTTAGTCTTTCTGCACAATCCAAAATTTGTTAAGAAATACGATCCTACAGGTCAGTTTTCTTTATGGAACACAACTCTGGGATTTAGGGTGGTTATTCTTCCTCTTTAATCCCAATCCATGAGTTGTCATACTGGCTTGTTTAAGCAGGATCTAGGAATTCCTTTTCTGTATTTATTCTGTCCACCTGAACTGGTGGACCCTTGCCTACCTATATATAAGTATTCACCATTCTATAACCAGAATGGAATTACTAGAATGGAATTACTCATCCAGTTTCTTTGAGACTCTGGTTTGTTTCCTTGCTGAGGTCTGTGCTTCTGCCTCCACTGATTCTGTATTACCACCCAGAATGAGCAGAGGCGTAGCTGCTACTGACATTCCAGTTTTTTGTCCACACTGGCTGTACTGTATGCCTAGTTTGTTCTTTGCTATAATTAAGTTCACTCAGGTTCTGGCTTCTGCTTTGAAAGACCCCTCTGTGCAGAGGAAAAATAATGCAGGGGAGAGGTTTTCTCTGATTCTGATATTAGCATATCTTGCGAGGTGGGAGGCCAACAGGAAAGTGAGCTGACAAATCATTAATCCTAAAAGTTTTAGGCCAAAATGATATTTACCTCTCTGGGCTCTGCGATTGCCAGGGTATCTTCTGTGTCAGCATGGAAGCTGGGCATTTAGAATGAAACTATGATAAACTGAAATGTCCACATTTGTTTTGGAAGCAGAAAGAGGACAAGAGAGATTTCATGGCCTCACTTTATTTTAGTTTTTTTTTTTATTTTAAAGTTTTAACTTTATTCTCTCCCTGCTAACTAATAACAACTCAAAACCAATTACTACAGTAAGTAGCTGTGCTACTGGGTAATTTTGGCTTCTACTGCTTCTCTTAGGAGACGCTTTCTCTGTTTATTAGCACTTATTGCTAGATGAATTACAGTCAAGAGAAAGGTCAAGTACTATTCAGGACCTTATACTCTAGTTGCACAGTGATCCAAGTGGATACAAGCGTATGGATCTTTCTACTTTTCCCTAACAGTAACTAACTCCGCTACTTCTAGTTCTTTGCATTACCTGGATTGTGAGTCAGATTTTACCACTGAAAGAATGTAGTGCACCTCCAGTAAGGTCCATTTTATCCATATTCTTGGGAATATGCAAGGGAAAAGCAAAGCAAACCGAAACTGGGAAGACATTGGTATCAATCAAGACATACTTCAGCAGTGTAAGATAAATTAAACTTGCTTACCGGACCAATTCTTCTAGTTGTGTAGTTAATGGGCAATCCCCCAACATACAGCATTCCTACAACATCCAATATATCGGCCTTCTTTGGGCTTACAGTCCTGTTGGAAACATCATCTACTACCAGGCTTCCTTCTTGCTTCGCTCGAATTACTTTTATCTGAACAGACACACAAATGTAACACAGTTACAGTTTTCTGATAACTGTTTCCAGGTTGTAACCAGCCTTACAGTCTGAAATCTCTAACAACAGGGCAGAAAGCGGTAAGAGTGGGTAGCAAAAGTACTGCGGCAGCAACTGCGGAACAGAGCTCCTGCGCAAGGTTTTGTGGAAACACATGACTGCCTTTTAATTAGCTCTGGGTCAGGAGACATCGTGACTCTTATTTATTAGAATTACTGAAAGGACTTGGGGTTCCTTTAAAAAGCTTGTTACTATTATAGGCTATGGCACAATATTGTTTTCCCTGGAATCAGATTCCCTGGAATAAGACAGCAATTTTAAGTACTGGGAATAGTAAATGCTGAATGTTAATGGCACTGGTTGCAAATCTTTATTACAGCACATGTTTGCAGACAACACAGAGTTTATGATTCCACTAGTTTGGATGTGCCTCAGATCATAGTTCATGCTAGAGCAAATATAATACCAACTACGTTCTGTTGGAATTATGGCTTCAGTTCAGACAAACGGGCTGCGAATCGCACGCAGGAAGTGCAAATGCTGAGGAAATTCTACCCCAACAACTGGGGGGGCAATCTCTTTCCAAAGATGTATACCAAAATCTTTACGAATAATGATTCTGTTATAAAAAAAAAGGATGAAATGTAAAATGCAACACGCGCGCTAGCAGATTTCTGGACAGCACAGTAGGCAGCTCACCAGAGTAGCAGAGAGAGAAACAGTATTTTTCTTTGGCTTTTCTTTAACACGGCTGCTTCTGCTTCAGCGTGGCAGCACATCTGCTGTGCGACGGGGATGACTGAGCACCGACAAGGGGCGGCCTGAAGGCGAGGGACTGAACTTGGTGTGCATAGATGGCGGTAAATTTGGGACAGACAGTCACACCCTGGTCAGAGTGAGGGTTTGGTGAGGGAGATGGGAACTGGGAATAGACAGTTTTACAGAGGACCTAAAGGGATAGCAGCAGCATGATGTGGTGTCTGCAGGCCTGATGGACGTGTTTCAACCTGAGTCATTTCAAGTGGAGTAAAGGTATTCACTAAAAGAATTTTAAGGAGAAGCCTCTGCTTTCTTAAAGACTGTTGTCTTTAATAAAAGACCTTTTCCTCTTCCCAGAACGGACTTCTGTTTGCTTTTTGGGAACTGTGACTTTGGATTTTTGTCTCCATTCTCTCCTAGAGGAATGGGATCTACAACAAGGGTCTCTCTCTCGCAGAATGCCAAGCTGCACGCCCGAAGAGCATTAAGAATATATGCTTCAGTTAGTTACCTTAGAACAGAGAGAAAATGGCTAAAAGAGGGGAGGAAAAAAAAAAAAAAACAAAAACAGATTGCTCTGTATCTGTAGAGAGGACAGCAGAAAGGAGCCCTGGTCTACTGCCAGCACACCTAGGCATTATGCAAAACAGATAAATATGACTACAACTTTTATGTTTCCCCCTCCTGAAATACCTTGCTTTAGAGCATTTGCTATCAACAAAACGTTCATGAGTAAAAATCCAGTGAAAATAAAATTCCTGTGGAATGGGAATGAAGCGAAGCCGCGCTAAGGATGATGGCAAAGAAGGTGTGGTGGTAAGACCAGTTCAAGTACAGTAGAAAACGAGGAAGATTTTTTCTTATTTGGTGATAGAGAGGTGGATGGCGACTTTCCAAATACCTGTCCAAAATGTAATGTCTCTTAAAGCACATAACTTGAATACAATGTTACATGTATTCTTTTCTTCTGTGTCTTCCCTGGTGTCTTCAAGCAGGTTACCTAATGAATACACTGTGTGTCTTGTCCTTGGCCCAGTAAATACTAAAATTCATGGTTGGGTATTATTCCTTCACTTACCATCTGAAAGCCACAGACTTTGTATATGAATGCTTCCTCTCATAAAGTCACAGAAGGGCCTGTCAAGTACATCCATGAATATCATATTTATTACCTAATTTATTCCCTAATTAACTGAATTAATAATGCAGGAAAGATTTACTTGAGTATTTTTTTTGTTCTTAGCATTATGGCTGAACAGTGACATCACTAACAAAGAAACACCTAGTTTTAATGATGTATTCAGCCATGGTGAGTTTGATACTCACCTGAGACTTATTAGGCACGATGGAACATTTTCGGCCGTTCCTTACCATACATGGACATATTCTAAATAAGCCCAGAAAGAGGGGTTTCCCGAAGGGCAAATTTCAAAGATCAGCACTACATTTTTTGTTAGTAGATTATGTAATGTGTATTCAACAGTGCATCTGAAAGCACAAATTTTGCAGACTACAGAAGTTGCTGAGTTTGCACAGACAACATTTTGCAAATATATTAAGGCAAAACAAAGCTCGCTCTTGGCATTAAAAAGAACAGTTTAGCATCGGTGACTGTTATACCTTGTGCCACTGGCCATCGTTTATTTTGTTGGAAACCACTGTGTTGGTGTCTCCACTCCCCAGATCATAGCTGAAGTAAGGCAGACCGTTCTTTATCTGAACCGTAGCAAAATCGGCATGGTTGATACGGGCCATATAGAACAGCAAGCCAGAATCAGCTGTTGTTCGGACTTCAAATTCAATTGTCAGTCTGAAAGTCAAACAAGCATGAAAACAGAAACAAAGGAAAAGATATTCATAGTCAGACAGTGGACAAATTCATCTGCTTTGCCTTTTGCTCCTCTAAGAAAACCTTTAGTGGCCCATTTTACTTGTCCATTAGGTTGAAGAAAAATAACGTGATTATATGTGAATTGCATTTCACACATACCTGATTCCTAACACGTGCGTGTTCATTCATCCCTTTGCTGTGGAAATACAGAAGTGCAACCTTGGCACCGAATTTCAAGAAGACAATTCTTAGCTGCGGCCGTAGTTGCTAGAAAATCCCAGTGCTTCTAAAACTCCAGTGGCATTAACTGTCATCCACACATGTAACGCTCACGAAGAGCAGCCAGCCCAGCCGTAGTGACAGCTGGTGAATGCTGAGGTTCTAATGAGCTGTATTGCCTGAAGACAGGTTGCCAAACTTTTAAAAGGTGCAGAGGAGAGCTCCCAATCAGAACAGAAAACACTGGTTTCTCCCAACTCAAAATGGGAATGTGTCTGGGGAGGTCTGCTGTCATGTGAAAAACACTGACCCCTTGTACTGACCGGTAATGCCAAAAACCTCCCCTACAGCAAGGAACCTGGGAAGAAATTATTTAGATTATGTACATCTTAAGGTTGTACTGGCGCAGCCCAAGCTCAGCTGCAAGGTCAGTACCTGGAGGTACTTGGTAACATAAATGGGAAAAATCATGAATACGATTAGGCCTGGATCCTTATTTGAAAAGAAGACATGTAAGGACTGCAGGATTACATGTTTCTTTTAATTGTTTTCCTAGTTTTCTAAAATTAGCATATGTGAAAATATTCAGTACAGCATCTTTATAGGTAAAGATAAGCATGAGGCTGATGGACTGGTAAAATACGAAGCAGCAAAAATGCTCGGTGGTGTGACATGGCACATTTGTTAATGATCATGTGCCTTCAGAGGAAAAAGGAACAATTAACAAGTTATAGCCATTGAAAACGGCTGCATTTTTATAAGTAGCTCTTGGAATTCCTTTGCACATCAACGTGTATATGTATATATTTATATATACTGTGCAAGCTTGATCTTATCTATCAGAAGAAAGGGGAAAAAACGGTTTGCTTATTAAAAGAAATTATCAAGTTAATGAACCAAGAAACTTTCTTCCAAAAAAAAAAAACAACCTATGAACTCAGTTGCATGAGCTGGTTTCATTCCTCTCTGGTTTTTGTTTGGGTTTTTTGTTGTTGTGTGCTTTTTTTCCTGGAAATCAGCCTGTGTGTGCCCAAACCGTTACAAAGGGGTAAACTGTTCTAGTGACAGATACTTAGGTGGGCACTGCATTGCCTAAGTTTCATGCTTTAATGTTTTTTATGTTTCCAGAATGAAATTAATTAGCCATGGGACATGTTCTTTTTTTAGATTATGCCCATTATTTTGGGATAAGCTTTTAAGAATATTAGGAGAGACATTTCAATTTGACATAATTCCATCCAAACTCATTGCTGAAATAAACAACATACCTGTTTTTCACTTTGGTGTCATCAAATGCAACTGCAATGTGGCTGTTCCTTGAAAGACCAAATTGCTTGCCACCTTCCAAAATGGCTGGTTCTGTGTCAGCAGCACAGGAATCCTGCAAAATATATGGCGATCATACAAACTTCGTATTTTGTACCTATCTCTGCTGTGCGCACGCTGGAAATCTTCCAACTGCTCAGGAGTGGGAATATTCCACCTCATCTAGACACTGGCCCTGCAATTTTCCAGTGTGTTGGTGTCTCATCACACCAGCTAATATTAGAAACCAGTATGATGGGAACCTGGTGTAGAAGCAGAGCTCATTAAGCTGGCTGTGAGAGCAAATAAAAGTAATATATGGATATTGCTGCTTTCGTGCCACCAATGGATGTTTACAAGAGCCTGAAGTGATTTCTAGGCAGCCCTGTGTCCTCTCAGCTCACGTAACTGAGTTTTACCCAGTAGGATGCCCTCTGACAGAAATGAAGCAAGACTTAAGTTTTAAAGGGATGCTTTGCTGGCGACTTGAAATCTAGTCACCTTAATGAAAAGTAGTTTCAGATCCTGCACCTGTCAACAGTTCCCCCGTTTTTACTTCTTTATATTGTTTTACAATTGTCTTCTTTGTTTAATTTGCTGTTGTCTCCCCGGGTGCTGCTGAAAGGCCCCCACAAACGATAAGGGAACCCAAGTAAGTGATGGATAGAAGTAACAACTGTTAAACTCCCTGAGCTGTCTAATGCAGACACATTACCCAGGGGGTAAAGAAAGAAACCCCTCCCTGTCTGTTCCACTTCTATTAAGCTTAAAGGGGTGCAACAATGGAAGGTAAAATACCTTCTGCCCAGTATAATTTTCTCTTTTTAATTTCGCCAGGTCTTTTAGTCTCTGGCCCTAAAGCTCTTGTATAGGGGTGCCCGGGGCAATGTGAGTCCATGGTAATTACCAGCTCCTACTCGTGTCTAGCTTTGCCTCCCACTGAGAGTATTGTGAAGAAACTACTCAAAGGATCTAACGCAACACAATATCAGGACAATACCGCTGGGAAAAAAACAAACTTTGATAGCTGCGAGCTCTGTTTTTAAGCACTGTGGCTGATAACATTCTGTATTGGCGACAGTCTCTTATTTGAGCCCTGACTCAGCAGGGACCTGCAAAGCCCAAGGTGCCTGGCTGACAAAGAGCTCTTTCCGTGAAACATTTTGAAAATGTCATGAGTGACTCATCAGGCACTGAGATTTCAGCCACAAAGAGGAAATTTCTTCCCCCCTCTCACTCAGTTTTTCAGTAGTGTTACATTTTTTGCTTTCACACGTCACAAAAAATCTTCACAACACTATACAGCATTTCTAAAAACTAGTTTTCCACAAAGAATGCTCTGGTTTGAATATGACAGAGTAGAACACCATGCATTAGGACAAGTACACATTAAGGTGCAATGGAAAAAAACAGGGGAAATTCAACAGGACCAAAGTAAGTGATGAATGTGTGATAGCAGTCTTCCAGGAATCAAAGAGAAAAAAAAAACCACACCAACCCAAACACCCAAAACCAAAAAACCCCCAACATATTCCCATAATTGTGGGTAAAGTTTCTAATATTTTAAGCTTTACAGGTTTATTTGGATGTTGAACAACTATGTTAGTAATAATACTGTGCATATAGTGCTTTCAATAGCATTTGGGCTTGCTAAAATCTGCAGATAGGGACTAACTACTGGTACTTGAAAAACAGGAAAGAATTGGAGAATACATTAACACACAATTTTCTTTTACAAATTGCATGGTAAAAGGACATATTCTGTAAATTCAATCCTAGGCTGGCATGTGTTAGTAAAGGGTCTGGCCCTGACACTTTAGCTGCCCCCCAGCATCAGCAAACACGGGGGTTTTGTCTTCAGCCCACCAGGACTGTAAGGAAGGGTAAGGAGTGGGGAAGAATGCTGAACACACCGTGGTGGTTGGAATCCTATACACTGATTATTTACTAATAAATACTGGGCAATAATGGTGACCATTCATTAGGTTGGTGTGGAAATGTCAGTAAAAGGAAAAGTGTCAGTTAAAGGAAAAGTATCAGTAGGGCACTTGAAAAACTTGCAGGTTTTATTCACAAGCCTGTGCATGCTTTCACTTTATCTAGGGACAACCTGCCTCACAGCCTTCACAATGCTGTGAACTCCACATGCATCATCCACCTGTATTAAAATATCACAGCTTTGTTTTTTCAGTAATGGCCCTAAGCTGTCCTGGGTTTAAACCTGCTAAACAACCTACCACATCACCTCAAGACTGAACTCTTCGGCGGCATTTTACTTCAGTCATGTCAGATATCAGGGACTTGACTGGTAAACCAAGCAGCCAGGTGTGTGTCGCAGTGGAAATGAGGGACAGAAGACCCCACTGGTGGACTGTCACACATTCTACAAACAGTGCTGCATTAGCAATGAGAAAGAAAGTAATTAGGGGTAAAGAGGGAGCACCACTGAAGCAGTCCCCACAGTTCACTGAATAGTGTTAATAAAACAATGAAGTAATGCATGGAGAAATAGTGGAAGATACCGTCACGGAGTCAAACGCAGAAGGAATGCTGGCGCTCTTCATTTCAGTGGCAAGCGAACCCTGAGAAGCAGTGAATAACATCAGGCAGAAGCAGCAGTCACCAATGGTGAGAAACATTATAGCATCAGTAGCAAGCAGCAGCAGCAGACTGGCAACCTGCTGGCCTACCTCTAGATCTTGTCTTGCCTTTAGAAGAGGGTAGCTTTCTTTCATTTGGGATTAAACACTTTAAATGCAGATGGATAACACAGATACAAAAGGTCCTAAAAAGACTTAAGTCTAGATACCTCATAGAATACCTGTAAGTACGATACCTTGTCTAAGCCTACTATGTGGAAATAATTAATTTTTGCTGTGTATTTTTCCAATACAGTCCTTCTACACTGAGCTTCTGTATAATTAACTGCCATGTGAGTGCTACCTCATTATTAGACTGTAGTTACTTATTTTGTTGCAACATTCCCCAGAAAAATACTTTGGAAGGCTTACATAGGTGAACATAAAAACTATCCAAAAGCTGACCTTATTTAAAATATGTTCAGGTCTTAGAAAGAGAAGGTGAAGTAATGGTGTTTTATTTGGATTTTTCTTTTGAACCTCTGTTTCAAGTTATCATGGCCCCAGATATTTGCTATACAAAACTCACTTGGTTATAATGAGACTAGTTTCTGGTATTAATGAGTAAATCTATTCCTCTCAATTTTTCTATTTAAAAGTTAGCTCTCAGTCTTATAAACTGTGTACTTGCTCTCTCATGGGCATCTGTATTCTTTTTATTTTGTTTATAATGCTTGATCAAGCATAATATGGCTGCACTCTTTCACAACAGTCAGCATTAAACTGGATAACTCTTTTTACCCTGTTGTTGCCTGGTTCCTTACCTTTTTATGGCAGCTTTTCTATACTGCAAATTTACTTACTTTCAACTCCAAACAGAAAGATGCATCGGAGCCCTCGTGTTGCAACTGCTCCACCTCGTGGGAATGAATAAAAATGCTGCCCTAGAGCATTAACAGGCGGATACACTAAACTGTGGGGCTTGGGGCAGGGTAATACCAAAGATGGAGCTTGCCTGCCTTGAACCCCAGGCTCCCATTTCCAGGCACACAGATGGCTGCACGTGCTGTGGAACTTCAGCAGTGCCTGACAAGTCCTTCTAGATAAAGCTGTGCCATATGTACCTGGCCAATGAAGGCGTTCATGAAGCTCAAGTATAAAATTAGTATTAATGATTTAGGGGTTTTGGCCTAATTTTTGTACCCTTTTGTTGCAGGAAAACATGGTTGGAAATCCTATCCATGTCCAAGGAAAACCAGATATGAATTCTGAAAATAAGTCAGGTAACAGGGAATGACTGCAGCAATGAATTCAGGTTCCTTTGTCTCCAACTGACAGGCTTTGAGCAACCCGGTCTAGTGGAAGGTGTCCCTGCCCATGGCAGGGAGGTTGGAACTAGATGGTCTTTAAGGTCCCTTCCAACCCAAACCATTCTATGATTCCATGACGACTTGCAGCCAACTGACTGTGTTCTTCATCCAATTAATTGCTAATTTCTGAGTCAGACAGAAAAAGCCAATACAAACAAACTCTGTCTTCTGTAATGTGTCAGTGAGGAGGTTTCTGTAACGTGTCAGTGAGGAGGTGTGAAATGGGAAGGAAGATTAAACCTGACCCGGAGTTGGAGCACCTCCCAAAATGGTTAAATGATCTTATGAAACCCATCTGGGAGAAACCATCAAAATTACTGACTCTTTTCTATTTGATAGATAAAAACAGAGGTTTAATATTCCAGTTGTTAACTTCTCAAAACCACCTTCTTATAGTAGTATAAATTGTGGCAGTGTAAATAGGCTCCTAACAGGGAAATGTGCAGTCTCTTCAGAGTGTTTGGAAATCTCACTCATATTGAGCTATATTCTGCATGAACCTGTGGGCTGTATGCAGGTGTAATAAAATGCAAAGGATTCCCTTCCAGGAATATGGTGGACGAAAAGCTGGACATGA